TAGTAGTTGAACACTGCTTTTACTCCTTTCTACATATATTCACCTATCTTATATATGTATATAATCAGTGTTTTTATTGATTCATATAAACTTTTTTATTGAAGTTTTCATTTTTAGTACTGTAATATTGTAATAACGAATAAAAATTGTGCAATTTGATTAGGTAATAATCATATGTAGATTTACAAATCGATCTAAAAACTAGTCAATCAAACAAATTTCTGTCTATGAGCCTTTAACCCAAATATCTTGGGATCCACCAGGCCGATTTTAATAAACTAACTACCATTAGAACCAGAAAATTATTCTCTACAACTTTACTTAAAGTTGAAAAAAAGGTTTACTTATTAAAACCATCTTTAATTTTTAAAAAACTAACTTTAGCTTTAATTATTTTAACTTTAACCCTAAAGCTAATAAGTAAATCCTTCTTTTAACTCTAAGTAACATTGTAGAGGAGATTTTTCTAGTTCTAATGGTGGTTAGATTATTAAAATCGGCCTGGTGGATCCCAAGATATTTGGGTTAAAGGCGCAAATATAAGTATTATAAACTATAATACTTTGTATAATAGTAAATTTGTAGATCTTTATGTTCGCGCCTTTAACTCCAAATATCTTGGGATCTAACCACTATTAGAACCAGAAAAGTCTCCTCTACAATCTTACTTAAAGTTGGAAGAAATGTTTATTTATTAAAAAGTTTTTTAATTTTTAAAAAACCAATAATTTACTATATAAATATATATAAATGCTAAAAATAGTAATTTTTGTATAACAATGGTGGAAATAGCAAACTACCATGGTGGAAATAGGCACTCTCTAACTATAATATATAAGACTAATTTCAGCTGCCTAAATACCATAATTACTTTTTTTATTAAAATGAGCAATTTAAGTACCCATATAGTATTCCAAATTATTAGTTGGAAAACTAAATAGTTGACAACTTTCCAACTAACTGGTTAGAAAATTTTTAATCAACTAACCAACTAATCATTCAATTAATATAATTCCGAGATATTCTACTTATTCAAGATAATTCAGAATGATTTCTTGAATTTGATTGGCTAATATCCAAAAATATTATGTGATATACATAACCGGTTAGTTGCCAACTATAGTTGGCAACTAACTGGTTGGTAAAATTTTAACAATTTGGAACAAACACTATATCCATGTATTAATATATCATAGTTCTAGGATAGTTAATAGAAAGAAAAAATAAAATAAAATAAATAAGTAAGAAATTAACTTAATAAATAGAAAAAATTAAAATAATAAAAGTATAAACTCAGAAAAAAAAAGATTTTAGCTTTCAAGTTTATCATTTATCAGATTCAGCTCGTGGAAAATCTGAAGTCTTATTTTCTCTTGGCAGCTCTAATTTATAGTTCATTAGTTGGAAATAATAAAACTTTTTAAAAATTTTTGTTTAATAAGTATTATACTAAAATTATAACATAATTCAGGTTTAGAAATTTTGAATCTAAAAGCTAAGCTCTCATAAAAGGTTTATTATCACATTTTAAAGCAATATTTAAATCAACAGAAAAACAAATCAAGTAATATCTTTAAACTTATTTTTTGCAAAAAACACTTTTTTTTTTAAAAAAAAACTGAAATTTTTTTTTTAAAAAAAAAAAAAAGCAAACTGGTCATCAAGCTCCTATTCCAATAGTTCTTTTGTTTTACAGAGAATTTTGCCGAAAGGAGATTTGGCCTTATTATAAATTCTCAAAACATCCTCTGACCCATGTTTGATATCTTCTGCACAATTTTCCTTAAGATAATGGTTAGAAATAATTTTTTTAATCTCTTTGATAAGGTCATTCTTGTTGAGCTTGATATTTGACAACAGTTCAAAATTAAAACCAGACTGTGGAATAGCCTTATAAATGTGCTGACTCTTCATATTATTGTGTGGGAGAATTTTCTTAGCAAGATTATCTCAGTGATCTTTTATTTCATAAGAACGAACTAACTATAATAATAATAAAAAAAACACATGAATATAAATATCTTTTTAAACTATCTTCTTTTGAGCTCGCTTATTTAAAACTCTTAATTTAGTATATAAGTTATGTACTATAAGAATATTGTGCAGAGTAAAATATATATCACAATTATAGATTTAGAAAAAGGCCTTTGCTAAAATAACTAATTTCCAAAATGATTAAAAAAATTTTATTTTCCTATCCTTAGTAAGTTTAACATCTTATTAAAACAAGAAAAAGTGATTTTAAAAAGACTAACTTTGCTCAAAAGCTATAGTTGAGCTAGCAAATTTGATATTATGAGCTATGCCTACGTAACATATATCAGATCTTGATATAAAACTAGTTTTGGACCCAATATGTTTAATACTGTTCATTTTTATTTTGTAACAAGAATATTAAAATTAAAATTAATACTGTATATTTTATTAGAACTGTACAGTTTATCTGAATTTACTAGCAAATATAGAACTACTATAAATAACCTAATACAAGACTCGGTTTCACCAAAAAAAATTAATTAGTAAAAAAAACTGATATATGAGGATCTTGTATCCAACTATTTTATAGGTGATACACAATATGCTGGAGTGTCAAACATTAGTGTAATTACAAACATAATGCAAGCCATAGTAAATTCCAATACTAATGATTTTTTATAGATTAATGATAACAATAGTAAATTCAAGCTGCAATAGCTTCTGAATCAAAAATCCCACACAAATAAAATTACTTTTTCAGATTAGTTTTAATATGCTCTTTAAAGTAACAATATTTTATATATATTAAGATAAAAATCAATCATTAAAATCAAATATTTTGTAAAATAATAAAAGAGCATTGTTATTTTAAAGGGCATGTTAAAATAAACCCAACAAATATAATTTATTTGTGAGTTCAAGAGTTAATGCAGTTTGAATTTTATATATTTTACTATTACTATTGTTAACCTATAAAAATCTGTATTATTTACTATGTGCCTTGTATTATGTTTGTAACTATACCAATATTTGACACCCCAACAATACACCGTATTAAATTTTTAATTTTACACATTGTTATAATATCCAGACTACAGAAGTGTGGTCATTTTTTTTGCACAATATTTAAGATTACGAGGATGATTAAAAAAAAAAAGTACTAAAGTTAGAAATTGGATCTGTGATTTTTTTTTACTAAATATAACATCAGGAAACTAAATATGGTGCAGATCTGTGCAGATCTGCGACCCTGAAAATTTTTAGCAAATTTTACAATATCTCATGATCTATCAATTAGAACTTAACAAATCTGGTACCATTCGAACCGTCTCGATAAGACAAATAGAATGATACTAAATTCATTAAAATTCGATCACTGGATCACGAGATAATCATATTTAAATGAAATTTGGAGTCACATCACGATCTTGTTAACCAGTGGTCTAAATTTAATGATTTTGGTACTATTCAATTCCTCTCGATGAGACGGTTCGAATAGTACTAAAAACGTTAAAATTGAATCACTAGTTAGCGAGTTATTCGCAAAATACGTTTCGCAGCGCAGTTTTGCGCAGATCTGAACAAAAAAAATTCGCAGATCTGCACAAAACTGTGCTGCGAAACGTATTTTGCAAATATCTCACTAACTAGTAATTCAATTTTAACGTTTTTGGTATCATTCGAACCGTCTCATCGAGAGGAATCGAATGGTACCAAAATTATTAAATTTGGACCACTGGTTAACAAGATCGTGAAGTGACTCCAAATTTTATTTAAATATGATTATCTCGTGATCCAGTGATCGAATTTTAATGAATTTAGTACCATTCTATTCGTTTTATTGAGACGGTTCGAATGGTTTCAGATTTGTTAAGTTCTGATTGATAGATCACGAGATATTGTGAAATTTGCTAAAAATTTCCAGGGTCGCAGATCTGCACAGATTTGCACCATATTTATTTTCCCAATGAATAATAAATTAATAATACAGTAATGTATAATAAATTCTAGCCAAATATATACTTGATTTCTACAAATACACTTTTTCTTATTATTTTCCAAATACAAGTAATATATTTTTCACAATGTTTATTTATTGTTACGGCTAAAGCAGAAAATTTTAATTATTTATTTTAATATGAAATTTTAAAAATTTTTGAGACTTTTGTTAGAGATTTTTTTTAAGGGTTAGGGTTTAGAGGTAGTTTTAATAATAAAAGAGTATAAGTGGATTTTGTAGAGTTTATATTTTTAAATCAAGGTCTCTAATTTCCAGCTTTAGCCATGATATTTATTTAATATAATGAAAAATTTCTTAATTAAGTAATTTTATATTACTTAAAATTGTAAAGTCACATAGTATTTGTTGTTTTTTTTTAAAGAAAAAAAAACTAACAAATAAAAATATTGAATCAATCAAATATCTCTAAAAAAATACTTTGCCAAACAAATCAATTTTTGATCATATACTAATTTCAGAAAATATAGTTTGAGACAAACCTCTCTAATACAAAGGTCAAGTATATATATTTGGACTAAAATTTGAGTGTGCATTTAAAGAGGTTGTATAGTTAAAGAAGTAAATTTAAGGTCTCACTATACAACCTTTTTTTTTTAAATGCCTAAACTTAAACAGAAATCGAACCTAGACCCAAGCCCGGAAGATACTACAGTTCCCGACATAGTATGATCCCAACATGAATATTCTAGACAGTAAATATTAGTAATTTTTAGTATTTATATCAATGTGTTTAAATACTATATATAAAAGTAATGAAAATAACAATAAATAAAGTAACTCATCATCCTTAAAAGTAGTTCTACTTTATGTATTTCTTCTTTTGTCAATAAACCGATACTGAATATTCAGTTATTAATCTAAAGAAATGAAGGAAAGAGAATAAAGATACTAAAAACACAGAAAGCGGTTCCTATTTAAATAAAAATCTTGTAATTTACTTAAAATTTCTATAAACAGTGTGAATCATGTGATAAAGTCTAAATGGATAATACCTAGAAACAGCTCAGATATTATTAATTAACTGCTAACTAACCAATAACATAAATCTGTTAATTAACAAATGTTGTTCTTAGCACTGTTCATAGACTTTCTAAATTAGAACATAACTAGATCAAGGAAGATCTAAAAAGTTAGATAAACAATAGTAATTTTAGTTTGTCTCTATATTGTATAACAATAATTCAAACCAGAATTAGTTCAATTTTTTTAATAATACATATTGATATTGTTATTCTTGTTATAGAAAGCTAGAACAAAACCAATATAGCAATATCGATTTTACTTATTTTTGTATTATAATACAAAACTCTAAAAAGAAGTTAAATAATACACACATAAATTAGCTAGGATTATGTATAGGAACTTAATAGCTATTTTCTTTTTTGTTAAATATCCCTTGTTATTCAAATATATTCTTGTCCGTTAAATTGATAAAATTTTAATTCCTCCAGGGCACATCTGATGGAAAATTGGCAGCATTCCTCTGTTTTTTAAACTATTAAGAAATTTAAAAAAATATTAATTGATAAAATTTTAATTCCTCCAGGGCGCATCTGATGGAAAATTGGCAGCATTCCCTGTTCTTTAAACTATTAAGAAATTTAAGTGAATATTAATTAATAAAATTTTAATTTCTCCAGGGTGCATCTAATGGAAAATTGGTGACATTCTTCTGTTCTTTAAACTATTAAGAAATTTAAGAGAATATTAAAAATTAAATTGTATAAAAAATAATAAGTAGTACTTGATAAATTTTCCTGACATGTTGAACGTAAAATTGGTGATACCTGTCGATTAAACTATTAAGAAAATTAAGTTAAAATAAACGTGGCAACTTAAAAATGTAAAAATCAGCAGTATTTTATATCTATTAAATATTAAATAAAAAATAGGTTATTAAGATAAAATTTCTTCACACATCACATTAAATGTAAAATTCACATTATTCTGCCTGTTAACTGTTAAGAGAAAATTATATAAAATATAAAGTCTTAAATAAAAAATAGAGTAAAATTTTTTCCAGATGTATTAAGCATAATTCTTAAGTATCTTTTATTGTTAATAATATAGTCAGACCTTCCTAAATGCATATCATCAGGACCAGCTCTAGAGTGTGCATTTAGAGAGAGTTGCAATTAGAGAACATTATTAAAATCACAATGTGCTATTATCATGTGATAAATATAGCTTTAATAGCCTAGAATTAATGGATTTGATTGGATAATAATCACGTGAATGCACTTATGGAGGAAGTTTTTATAAACGGGCCAGACAATTAGCGTGTACTTACAGAATAAAGAACGTGCATTTATCTATAAGTCCCACCATAGACCTGGGCTTATATCGTGCATTTAGAGGAGTGTTGCATTTAGGGAAGGTGCATTTAGGGGGGTCTGACTGTATTTAAAAATTAGAACTGTAATAAAGAATGAGTACATAATTAGATACGCAAACACAAACTGGATATTGCTATAACTATCTCTAACAAAAACACATAGCCAATTGTTAAGTATATTGCTTATCCTCTATAAATATGCTTTAAAATATACTCTTTCTATTGACTTTAAATAATAATTTTTTTTTTTTTTTTTTTTGACAATCATGTCACAACTTTATTTTATACTATAGAATTTACATTTATAATAAACGTGGAATCTATTTATAGCTATGCT